AGGCTGATGCCCTGTCAGGGCAGGGCGGGAGGGGCCATGCCCGTCTTGCTACGCTCTGTCCTGCACCTGGCGCCATGGAGTGGCAGCAGCAGCCGGGCACAGACCCTGGCAGATGCCCACAGGGGGCCAGGCACATGTGGTGGCCCCAGAACCCTCCTTGAGCGGTGCCAGGCAACCCCCCCTGTGACTGGCACACTCCAGCTGCCAGCCATGGAGGGGGGGGTGCAGGCAGCACCACCGGCTATGACGGGCACGGAGCAGCGGCCGTCGCATCATAGTCGGGCCCCCCAGGCCTGGGACACCGGGCCCCACACCCAGCACCGCTCCCCACCCCCTCTGGCTCCTGCCAAAGCACCAGAAAGTCACCCCACCCCCAAGGCAGCACCTTGCTGGTCCTGCCGGGGATCCCCGCTCCCAGGGCTGGGCCCCCCAGGGAAAGGGGCTTTTCACTCTCTTGCGGGTGCCCTGTGACCCGCTGCCCCCTGCCCTGGGCTCAGGGGAGGGTGGCTCAGAGCTGGGGTGGGGGGAGGGTACTGTTTTTGGGGGCAGGCGGGGCGTTGACCCCAAGCCTTGGGCATGTACAGAATTTGCTGGCCCCAGCGCGTTGCCTTCCCCCTCCCTCCGTCAGCCAGAGCCCGCACGGCCGGGGGTGACGGCCCAGGCTGGGTCCCGCGCAGCCGGCTCCAAGGGTCCCCAGCTCGGCAGGGCTGCCTGGGCTGGGACTGGGAAACAGGGCAGGTCCCCGGCACCTGCCCTGGGATAAAACAGGGCGAACGGCTGCTTAAAACCGGGACGTGTTGATAAAACCCTGCGCGAGCTCCCCCACAACATGCAGCCAGGAGCCGGGCCCGAGCCAGAGCCTGCTGCAGACGCAGGCACGGTCCCTGCAGGGAGCTGCCCTGCAAACAGAGCCCCCTCCCCGCGCCAGCCCGCGCCCGCGCCCAGGGCAGGGCTGACGCTATCTGCTGATGGAGGCGTAGTTGGCACGGCTACCCGTGTTGAGCTGGGCACTGGCAGGTGGGGGCTTCGCGCCCGGGGCCGGCTCCTCCGGCGTCTCCTCGGACTCCAGGATGGGCTCCTGGTCGCTGTGGTGATCGGCCGGCAGCAGGATGAGGTCGGTGAGGCCGTGCAGGTCGGCCGCCTTGTGGAAGGTTTGTAGGACCAGCAGCACGGCCATCAGCCCCAGCAGCAGGTACACTGGGAGAGAGCGAGAGGGCGTCAGCCCCTGCAGGGACCTGGACCGCTGGGCCAGGCCCCGCCACACAGCAAGTAGGGAACAGAACCCAGGTGTCCTGGCTCCCAGCTCCCCCCCCCCCCGCCGCTCTAACCACTAGTCCCCA